CGCCTGAGGTTCATAGTCATGTATGAGTTTATTGCTAGGGGCTTAAGATAGGATAGGATGGAGAAGGGTTGAATCGGTTCAGAGGCCTGCTGCTAACAGGAATGGCATCCTATCTGTGACCCTAATATCTGCTAAGGTTACCAAAACCATTCCACTAACCGGAATGCAGCCTTCACTGAAGGGAGGAGGATCTTAACTGACGAGGGGTATAAATAATGTTTAATGGTTCTTTTAGTGTGAATATGAACCTAAACAAGGTATATTTCCTCATTCCAGTTGATTGACTGCAGGAACCTCGAAACTGTGGCTTGGCGCGTTACAGTCCCCAGGAGTAATAGCGGCGGCAGTGAAATATCCTACTCAGGATGGAAGACAAGGGACATTATCCGTGGGGTCAATAGAAATGTCTGTAGTGCTAGAGAGGTGGTTAATGGTGAGGCGATGTTGCGCAACCAAGCGAGTCATCGCAGCAGTTCCTCTCGCCTTGTGTTCTTCCTCGTCACTATCGCTGTCAACAAATTATTAGGGGCACAGAGTGTGAATATGGGCCGAATTTCCGCGTCGCTAGTAGCAGAGATAGTTAGCTAGAGCGTGCATGGTTGAGGCTACGATCACATATGGTTATTAGCGAGCATGCTAAGCCGCACTGGCGGCAGTGGGTATCTGACTAGGCTGGCTTGTGATGTGAAGTCGGGGAGCATGACAGGCATTCATACATCAAGAGAACGGGTCTGCAGAAGCGAGCATGCAGAATAAAGCTGTGCAAGAGCAATACAAACTCATGAATTTGGGGAGCTTTAGAGTGTCTGTTTGACTGTGGGATATGAAGCAATTGGAATGTGGTTGTTGAATAATAGAGGGAGTTTAACATGTTATGGAATTTGTGACTGATTATGGGCAAGTTGCTAGATAGGTAAGTTGCGAGAGCAGCTGTCTTTGGACATATCGATAACGAGCTAGTTAGTATAGGACAGTAACGAAATTCTTTAGCGGTCGGGCTCACAGTCACAGATGCAAGTCATGCCGATAAGACGTTGGTCGTCAACTTGTTGCTGCATAGAGGAAATGGAGGAGTGTCGTGGATGTTGTTTCGAATAACCCTTAGTTCCATTAATTCGGTCTCATGTAGAGGTGGGAGTGTCGTAGCTATGGACTCTTGTTGGTGTTGTCGAGGTTGGTAGCCTAGATTGTCGGAAGTATTCTTTGAGGACATGCTATCCCCTATGGATAGACGTCAGTTGTCGACCGGTGCCCCCGGAGCCACGGAGGGGCAAGAAGGACCTATCGAGGACATTGAATCGGGACGTTAGAGGTGGGTATGCAGGTGGGACGATGAAGGCATTGCATCGGAAGCAGGCGGTCTGTTTGCATGGGGCATGCCTACTAGCAGAAGAAATACCAGTAGCTGTGCACAAGAGGTAGAACGCATGCGTTGACAGGAACCTTGATCCATAACCATGGTCTCGATGGGACGAGACGACGTGGAGAGAAGAGAGAACACCACTGCTCCAGCTCAATCCACGCCAAATGACATCGTTCCGTCCTTGTGCTTGCGACGGTGATTGAAATATCCAAGACAAGGAGAAACCTTCGCATTTAGGCTGTAGCGGTCTTGAGTTGAGCTGTGTGGATGTCTGGTGCGGCAGGGTGGAAGAGAAGACGGAGAAATGTTGGAGGAGGGTCAGGAAGGCATTTCGCACCATAGCTAGCCAGACCCTGTACTTGCTGATCATGGTCACAGAGAATGATCGGAGTGCAGTGCGGGGACTCGGACACAGGCATCCCGGAGGCAGTAGAGGGACGTTGGGAAACAGAGGCAGGCTCCCACCCGGCATCATTTGGCGAGAAGGCGGGAGAACATCGCAAGTCCGATAGTGATCATGCTCTGAAGTGCGCGCAGTTCGGCCCAAAGACGACCAAAGATGGGAGATGGTCTCGAGCCTTCAATTTGGATCTCCGTAAACTCCTCGGGGCTCATAGACCGCGCAGCACCTCGGGAAAGACAACAGTAAACGTCGAAAGCTCCAGCATGGGATGTACAATTGCGAGCAGACTCCAGACCCGTCGAGAAAGAACGGTGTTGACCGGTCCATCCTCAGTCGCAGACGGGGCGGCGGAAGGGGTAGCGGACCAGTCGGACGATCATCGCATCGCGGCCTTGCTGGACGACGGCGTTTGGGCTAGGAGCAGACGGCTAGATCTGGAGATTGTGTCTGCTTAGCATGTCCGACAGCAGACTGCGCATTCGACAAGCCCGCATGTTCTCTGTGCCTCTCGGCACTCAGTGAATTCTACACCTCTTGCTTGTGCTCGACTTGTTGCTTGTGCTCGAGTTCTTGTTTGTGGTCGACATCTTGCATGGCAACGCTAGCGTTCGAGCTCGAGCTCGGCATCATTTCCTCTTGTCAAGGATCAACCGACGCGCGGTAGGCCGTGTGCGGCGAGAGTGGAAACTTGCGAAGTGAACAGCTGATCCCCATCCGCTAAAAACGATCCCAAGTGGTAGTCCCTGCATGGCATGCCGCTCCAGTGGTGTGGGCGTCGGGAGCATGAAGAGACCAAACATGGTCGGCTCGAGTTGTAGTTGCGGGACAGCGGGCGGCGGGTGCGGAATCCGGCTGTCTGAGCAGGCCTTGTTCGCGCAGGGCGTCGAGGTGTCTTCAGGTCTCGGTGCTGGGGAAAGTAATCGATTGTCGGAGTGGAGTGGGAGCTATGTGGCACGGTCGATGACGAGCTCGACGATGTTTTCGCAAGGAGGGCGCTGCGGCGGTCGTGGTGCGATGGGCGAGACGTCCTTGAACAAGGATCCAAATTGACTTGCAACGGAGCTGCTGGACTCGTTTGTTGTTGTCGCGCTCGACGTAGGCAGTGCCGGGGCATGCGCGAGCGATAGAGACGCGATGCGAATCGGGATTCTTGGAGATGGGGGGCTTCGTTGGTAACTGCGATCGTGGCCAGGGCGGTCGGTCGTCTGGGCGGTGGGTTCGTGGATGTTGAACAGCAGCCATAGCAGCGAGTCTGCTCTGAAGGTGGCTTGGTGGGGGCGTCAGCCTGTTGCATCGGTTGAGCATCGTACAGCTGCATCATCTGGGATGAGCAGCATCTTGCTCGCTCTAGATTCGAGGTTCCCGACGGTCACTCGAGCTGGAGAACTGCGTGCGCGGCAGCAGGGTGTCGGATGGCTGCGTCGGTCGCGTAGAGGGAGGAATCGGCGGGGGGGACGACATTGTGGGGGAGGCTCTCGGCGACAGAGTCGACAAAGAAAGACGAGGATTCGTTTCCATTGTCAGGGAGCTGCGCGAATGGGTTGGGAATCATGTGGGATACTGGATGTTTTCATCTTTGGGGTCGTCCAGATGCAGCTCGATCGGGACCGGGGAGAAGGACGTGGTGGTAGCGTTGGCGTCCATCGCAAGACTGCGTGGCATGAGCAACTGATGAGGCCATTCGGTGGAAAGCACTCGGCGCGCATGGCAAGGCCCTGTACTGGAAGTAGCACCCTCTGTGCTGGACGACCGACTTCAACGGAAAGGGACATTGTCGGGCTCAAGGCTCGAGGGCAACAGCCAGCACTTGATGATTACATAACATTAGTGTTCTGGCGAAAAATAGCCAGATCGCTCCAGTGACGTAGCGTTCTGGCATTTTTTTTCCGCCAGAAGACTCCCTCGGTCACTTAAGGTACGTACCTGGGGTGGTCCCTGCACCTGTCAAAGTCTTGGCGTCCGGTTGCGCGACCCACCAACTGCACTGCGAAGCTCATCGAAGCAGAAGCACCAAGATGGCCAGGGTTGACGCCGTCGAGTGCAATTGAGGCCCTTTGCCCTGGGGAAAAGTAGCTGCATCTATTCATGGAATTTGATTGATGCATCTCGCTTGCTTCAATGGTACGCGAAGTGAAGTTGTTGTTCAGTGGCCGGCAGCGAAGCGACTGGTCAGGTCCTCCAATGGCGAGAAAAGTGCAGAGTGAGGCTGAGGATGGTGGCTTTGAGAAGAGATCCCCATGAAACCGAGGACTCTCTCAGCATTGAAAACTTCTGTGTGAGCGGCAGCTGGACAGAGGATCGCAGCTTTCCACAAGAAATCCCCATGCAGCAAGGGACTGTGGTGTTTTCTCCAGCTTAGGGGGTCATGATGGGTGACTGTGGCCCTCGTCGATTCCTGGTGGTGAGTCTGCCACAACGCCTCATGTACCTTGGTGGTCTGGCGGGAAAGAACAGCCAGAACGCTTCAGTGACGTAGTGTTCTGGCCGATAAAAAGCCAGAACGCTACGTCATTCAAGTGCTGGCGGCAGGTCCGCACCGAATCTCGGGCATGACGCCTTCTGATGGTGGGGGGTATCACGACCCAGACTCAGACGACTTCTCCGCCTACCAAGGACTAAGGTTGGGGAAGAACAGTCAACAAAGGCTTTGGTCCCTTGGATTTGGGTGTTGTCGTGGGGAGCTGGCACAACAGCTCAGGCGCAGCAAAACACTTCGTGTACCTTGGTGGTCTGGCGAAAATAAAAAGCCAGAACGCTTCGGTGACGTAGTGTTCTGGCAGAATAAAAGCCAGAACGCTACGTCATTCAAGTTCTGGTGGCAGGTCCGAAGCAGCATGGCTGAATCTTGGGCATGGCGCCTGCCGGCCACTTCCTCGCGACCTTCCACAGGCGCTGAGGGCATCACGACCAAAACTCCAATGACCTCTCTGCCTACCAAGGACCAAGGACCAAGGACCAAGGTTGGGATAAAAAAGGCCGACAAGGGCTGTGGTCCCTTGGAGTCGGCATTCGTGTCGTGTGGAGTGCTATGCACAATTCCCACTCGCGAATCCAGTATCAGTCCCCGACGAACCCACATGGCGCATGGTGGACATCGTCGGGCCGCATCACCCCCCGACACCCAGAGGACGACCGGCTTCACCTGGGGCACTGCACCGGCGCGATCGACCTCTTGCGCGCAGCCAAGAACAGCGCCGATTGTCGCATCTTGTAATCGCATAGATTGTTTCATGATTAAGTGGTGCAGTGCACTTGTCCGCCAGCGTGGAGGCTTCGTGATGATCGGCGCTGAACATGAAGTGGACGTTTGAGTTCCGCCAACAGGCTGTCTTGCTTTGGATGGTTCAACCGGTTTACTTCGCGATACTGGTCGTCGGTCATCTCGTTGTTTTCGAATGCTTTGGCGATGTCTTCGAACTCGTTGAATATTTTGAGAAGAGATGGATCATTACGGCCGTATCGGCGGAGGATGACATATGCCAGTAGGCGACAGAAGAACAATGCTTCTTCGAATTTGTTGCGGTTCTGAGGGAAAGGGCGTTTGCTTCGAAACTTGCAGACATCATGCTCTTTTTCTCTGATGAGCTGGGTGAGGCTGTCACCGCTCTTGAGGTAGCGGTCACAGAGGTAGTGAATGTAGTATTGCTTCGGCATTTTGGTGTAATGGGTTGTGGCAGCGTGAAGAGGGAGATGCCTGCCCCCTGTAATCGAGGCGATTCGCGCTCTCTTCATATACCCCCATAGGTGGCCATAGAGGTTTCTCTGTGAGCCATCCTGGCCCTCGAATATTTCCCCGTGAGAGTCATACGGCAGTCAACAAGGTGCGCCTCCAGGCGGCAAACTGCGAAGAAAAAAGTTAGAAGGGAAGAAAGATGAAGTGGACGTGCCAGCCCAGGCCGAGCGTGGAGGTACAGAAAGCTAACCAGATGTGTGGAACCCCCTTGTGCCCCTCCCAGCTTGAGCAGCCAATAAGATGTGTGGAACCCCCTGATCCACTCCAGGGGGTTCCACGGGTCTGATTGGCCGTCTAAGGTGGGATGGGGTTCCACACATCTCATTGGCTCCCGTCATCTTATCAAAGCCACAAGTGCTCAGCCATCGTCAGATCGCGGAGAATGAACTTGCGCCGCAGTGCTTCTATGCCTGAAGGTGCTCTGAGTAGTGGTGGGATTTTCCCAGGCGGGCCCAGGCGGGGCGAAAATGAATGTGACGATTTTGCCACTGAAAACCGTCACATTTGAATCCTCTTCGCGCACCAAGGCAGGCACAGGTGTTGCAGGCAGGGCAGGTAGGATGCGTTGCAGGCCTGCGCAGGCGTCACGGCTGTGGGTAGCTGGAAGTCAGCTATTAACAGACCTCTGGGTAGTCGCAAATCAGCTACTGACAGCGGGTTCTCTGGGTAGCCGCTAGTTAGCTACCGACAGACCTCTGGGTAGCCGCAAGTCCGCTACTTACAGGGGTGTGGGTAGCCGCAAGTCAGCTACCTACACCGGGATCCCACACTTCTGATTGGCCCGCTCAGCACCCAGCACCCCGGCCCGTCACAACACTGCACTGAAGACGACACACATCGAGACCACACTGTCCATCCCTCAACCAGCGCAAGATGGACAATTCGCGTGCCTCGTGTGCGTGAGTCGACAAAGGATCGCTTGTCGCTGGCTCAAACCATCAACTGGGACATGCCAGAGACCCGGCGGCCGGGCAAACGGCCTCGTCACAACCACGGTGCACCGCTCTGACCTGCATCATTATGGAGCAACGGATTCGATCCTCACCGTCTTGACTCCTGCGCGGATAGTGTCAAGCTCCAACTTAGCGACCACTACAGCTACAGCACGGGAAATATCTCACAAAAGGCGTTCAAAAGTGCAGGTACAAGAAAGCCCAGTGTCCTGGTTTTCCGGGACATTGAGTTCAATGTCCCGTTTTCTATGTGAAGGTGCCGGCCCGTCGCCTTCCGCAGTCGTCCAGCTGCGACTGCGTGGCCCCGAATTATCGGCAACACCAAGCCTGTCACCTGTGACCATGATGTTGCCTCCCCATCCCACTTCCCAGCGACTATAGCGACTTCTTCAGCGGTGCCGCAACGGGCCCTTCCTGCACCTCTTCCTACGGACGCCGGACAGACCACACAGGTGAAGCATCACTTCGATCCCGTCACTAAGAAAGGAGACGACTATTTCTCCCCCCCTATGCAGACACATGCGCAGACTTAAGATATATCTACAATCTATTTGGAAGGAGATGGCTCCAAGAGCATCGGCGAATATGCGCATGATTGAGCAGCATGGGTTCACCACGAATTGCCTCCCGGGCACACCAGCCACTTTCATCGACCTCACGCATGACACCCCTGATGGGTGCCGTGCTAGACATCCTACTGCGGACAGTGGTGGTGCTGGCCGGGGTGTGTGGAGGCTTGCGGCCCTGAGGCAGGCGTTGGCGGATTTCCAGAGTGCAGGATTCTGGGCGAGCCTACGGGGACTGCGACGCAGATGCCGTAGACATACGCTTGAAGCAGCTGAAGTTGCTGCAGCTGCACAGGATGCTCGGACGCAGGGAGGTTAACGTGCTTCTGATGTTGTGCCCTGGTAGCAATGGCTGGGTGGAGTTGCGACTGTGGTTGTACGACCTTGGGGCAGAGACAAGTCACCCCACTTGCCCGCTCTCTGCGATCGTCACCTCGCGTCCCTTCACAGTCGGCGCCCGACGCCATCGTACGTAGCGTACCGTCGCAAAGACGTTGTGCAAGAGCAAGCTCTCGAATAGCCTTGTTATCCTCCCTCACGGCTCCCGCGGACTTGTAAAAGGCCGTGTCGCATCATCACTGTCTGTGCCGTCCTTGGAATGTTCTTGTTCGTGCTCCAGCGTCACTTGCTTCGGAAGGCGCCGATTCAGCTGGTTGATGGTGAGTCGTTGTGAAGGCGGAGTTGAGCGCGTCCTCCACTCGAATCGACCCATATCTTCGGATGACCGGCTCCGAGCAGCAGGAGGTGGCTGCCGTTCCATAAAGTCCTCCCATGTCGGCCTGGGCCGGCGCGCGAGGGGTTCGTCGTTAACAGGTGCGGTCTGCGCGCGTTTCGCAGGTCTCTCGGGTTGTCTCGAGGCCATCTCCGCAGCTCTTTGTCTGAATTTGATGAACTTTTCCTCGTTCAACCCCAGCAATGTCTCCAGTCTTAGGAAGATTTCGTCAGGATCCTCCATGTCGTTCTCGTTGTGGTCATCGTTGCCGGCTGGTCCCTCGCCATAGTCGGCATTCCGTAAATCGTAAAACTCCACGAGGTAAGCTAGCATTTGTCGGTTTCGGGCCGTTGTTGAGTCCCTCAGCTGATAAAACTGGTCCGCATTCCGGGGAAATAGTTGGGGATTGGGGAAGAGCACGCCTTGGCCAGGACGGTATATGGGAGGAGGGCGGATGGGGGCCTTTGGGTTCCTCAATGCGCTGTTTCGCATGTATGCTTGGGTCTGGCCGACTTCGGCTCGAAGTTCGCAGACATCGGTCTTGAGCTGGGTGACATCGGTCTTGATTTCGTTGACGTCGGTTTTGAGGACATCGACATCGGTCTTGATTTCGTTGACGTCGGTTTTGAGGACATCTACATCGGTTCTGAGGTCGTGGATATTGGTCTTGATCTCTTGCATGTTGTCAAACACCTCTTCCCGGAGGAGCTGCACGGATTCGCGAAAGCCTGCCAGCTCCGTGTTGAGCTGGTCGTCTTGCCGGTTTCGCAGGGCCACGAACTCGTCGCGCGACAGCCACTGCCCCCCTTGGGAGGCAAAAGTTGAGGCCATCGTGGAGGCTTGGGTCTTGAGATACATGCGCGGTTGTTGTGGCGGTTCGCAAAGTTGATGATTGTGTGGTGGTTGCAGGAGGCGTGAATGGCCTCGTACCGGAAATTGGGGAGAAATGGGTGCTCAGGTAAGCAGGCACGTGGCCTGGCACAGCGGCTCAAGGAGCGAGTCACAGTGCACTTTGCAGGGGTCCCTGGGTGTGGCTGACTCAGCTTCACGCGGTGGCGCGTCACCCGAGATTTGCCCAACGCGAAAACACCCGATATCAGGTGACTTCAAAAGCCCGCCACTCTCCGCCAGCTGGCAAGCAAACTTCGCCTCGCAGCCATGGCCAACCCGGTGTTGTGCCACTCCCCATCTTCTGCCACCATAAGTGCACGGCATGTTCCTCAATTTGAAAATGATGCAGATTCCTGTAGATTCTCACGAACTATGGACAAGGATGGAACACCAAACACGGCGGCATTTATTGTGCAATCGAAACATACGCTGGGCTTACGGCGAGCTTTCCTTGAGCAAGGGCCGGCACGCATGAAAACTGGCCCGATGCTGAAGCTGTCGATTCCCGTGTAAAAGCAGTTGCCTCTGAGTTTGCGCGACGAATCGTATCCTTCTCGACGACTTTCCACTTGCATGCCCGTTTCTTGCAGCCGCTCTCCCACCTCCAAAAACCGTCACTCGTTCCAGTGTCCCTTCGAGTCTTCCATGTCGGGGGACCGCCACCAAGGCACCCCACATGCGACCAACCCTCCACAATGCCCTCACTTACGTCCGCCAATGCTTCCCCAATACTCTTCAAGCAAAGCAGGGTTGTTTTGCTTGACGAAGGCTTCCGACACAACCGACTCGTCCTTGGACCCAACCCAGGTGACCGTCATCGTTGCGTTCTTCTTGCCTCGGGTGAAAGTATGCGACTTCACAGCAAATATGTGCCACGTCTGCCTCTCTCGCGGGGCCAAAACGGCACGGTGGTCGCAGGTTGCGATGTACTCCTTCCACAGCAGCGGAGCATCTTCTTGGATCAGCCACTCGGGCTCCCAACTGGTGTCGTTCTCGGCCACCTTCCATCTGCACTTGAGGATAATCCGGGTGGGGTCGTCAGGGTCGATGTCATGATCCAAGATATCCACCAATTCCCACTTCTCGTCTGCGTCCGTCGCTATGCTGGTGTCGGATGCGAGTGCCTGGGACGGTGCCTGTTCCTAGTTGGCATCGTCGGTGTGGGTCGCATTCTTGGCCGGCTTGTCGGCAGAGGTGGTGGGGGTGGCCGGAATGCGGGCGGCGGCAGGGGCACCCTTTTGTCGGCGGCCCAGGCTTCGGACGCCGAGGGCTTGCATGGCAGATGCGCTTGGCATGTACCACTTTTTGCCAGAAAGTCTCGCCATTTCGGAGTTCTTGGTTTTTGGTAGCCGCGACGGGTGATTCGAAGTCAGAGATGTTCGTCGTGGGCAGAATCGTTTTTGCGACGCAGACAAACGGCAGGTGCTCTTCAGTTTCGTACCCACACTAGAACAAGGCAAGACCGGGCCTTAAAATGCACGAGTCCGCAATGAGTTTGTTGACAGTGACTTCGAGCCGGGCGATCAGCCGCGAGTTGAAGTAAATTAGATTGCGTCCAGGGAAATCGTATCGTCGACGTGGCCCTGCGCCTTGCCGCTTTGTCGGTAGAAGGAAGAGAGGCATGCGACCTGGATGGACTGCAGCGCACTGAGGATGAAGCGTCAGCCACTTTGCGGTTGGTGTGGCTTGTGGTTGGGGTGGCTCGTGCTTGTGAGCTGCCAAAATCAACCGTTGCGGGCAGACCCCGCCCAGCCAGGCACCGGCCATCCCATCCGCAGACGCAACCAAAAGCACCGTCT